ATACGAATAAATGATCTTTCTGTAGATTGATGCATTAGATTATGTTGAGAAGATTATATGCATAGGTTTAGAACAAAACTATCAAAAATTGTTAGTTTTTCAGAGTGCTCGTTTGAAAAACCGACTATCAGAAAAAAGATATGACGTTATCTTCACTATTGCACCCCCCCACTTTTTTTCTTTCGCCACATCCCTGAATAAAACTAAATATGAGTTATCAATCTGGAGCAATTCCTACTCCAGTGATTTATAGTGACAAAGAAACTAAAACAGGGATATATTGATACAAAAAAGCAATTCGGGTATTATAAGTCGATATCTATCATATCATGAACTCTTGGAATAACAAGCGGCAAGAAATAAAGTTGTCTGAGGAAAAAGCAGACAGTTTATTAGAATTCACTAGTTCCACATGAATTTTTTGAGGTAATTACCATGGGAACAACTCTTTTGCAATTTACGGATGGCCTTTTGGTTAGAAGGCAAAAATAGAGAATCGAACGAGTTACATTAAAAAATAATCAATTTTTTCAATGGTTAAAGCAAAATTTTGTTTGTCATTGATAGATCCTTTTCTTGCCGATGTGCCATTTTTTATATGTAACGTGTGTAGTGTAATTCGTTAACTGCTCACTATATGGTAATGAAGTGTCAGATTGTGCGGTGAACAGGCTCCCCGATGAGAGAGGAGGGCTGGTCCCTCCCTAAAAATATTTTTGGACTTTCCGGCAAAATCTTTGACGTGTTTCCACAAGCATCTTTCTGCCAAAAATTTAGAAAACTGTTTTTCGCTATCCATTTTCTGCGAAGAAAATTTTTTAGCCTTGGAGGGTGTTTCATAAAAATTCTTAAGTGATCGACTTAACTAAGTCTAGACTTAAGTCTTCATTTTCCGCACTTAAGTCTAGACTTAGTTAAGTCGAGCACTTAAGAATTTTTATGAAGCACTCTCCTGACCTTCTCACGCTCTGCATCTAACATAAATGGGTAAAAAAATGCTGATGAGTAAAATGAGCATGATGAAGTTTTGGGGGAAAATTCTTGTCTTTTTCCGCGATAGGGAGATAAATGGCAGGTCTGTAGAGAGATTAGATCTTTCATTCTATACGACCTAAACTGAGATCAAGAACGCAACATCTCGCTTTCGTTTTCTCTAACAATCCGATCAAGAATGCTTTCTTTTCGTGATTGATCTCACCGCTCATTGATAGTGTCATACATAAAATAGATTAAAGAAAAAACAAAAGTTGGCTAAATACAGAGTATACGACCTTTCTTCTTTTCGAAAAATTGAAGTATCAATAGTAATTTCTCTTTCGTAATATATGCTGTAGGCGAACAGTAAATTTTCTTTGATAAAAAAATTTCAAGCAGATCTGACCTCCGGGAAAAGTCATTCAGTTACAATTTTTGGAGCTTTTTGTAATAGTTAAATCTAGTATAGCCACTAGTCTCGAATTTTCGATGATAGCGAGTTTTACTACAAAATGACCTTATAAAACAGTTCAGAGAAAGGCTAGAAAGTTAAAATTTAGTTGAAAATGCTGTCGTATTCTAAAATATAGAAGCATTGCACTTCTATCTATCGCCTCATCATTTTTAAAGACAAAAACGCTTTTACACTTTATATGTTTATGCAATGACAAAACAAGGCAGTTACATATAAAACAATTCTAAATTATATTGTATTATTGCTATATCGACCTAAGAAATGGAGTAGAGGGAGAGTGGAATAACGACCGATCGACCGGAATACATTTTGAAACGCCCTCTTAGAGAAGTACATTTCTTCTGAACTAGTCATATGTTTGTCCAAGTGAATTATATTATACTGACATTTTTATTATTTTCTTACTAATTTTATATTATTTCAATGACGACCTTTGCTCGACCGTCATTGTTAGATAATCGTTATGCTGCAATAGCCGAAACGAGTGCTTATACATACGATGATGACCTTGTCAATTATGCCGATTTTTTGAAGTATTTAGTATAAAGAGTGAAATAATAAATTTTTCTTTAATACTGCTCTTTCTTTCTATTTTAGAAACCATGGTCGTTTTATGACAAAAAATGGGTATGTTGATTCAAAACGTCGTATTCGCAGTTTGCATCGTCAACAAGAAGAGTCAATTTCGTCGAGTGCTGGTGTTGGAAGTTCAAAACTGCCCGGTTTATTTGAAACATTTGGTAAACATTCTCTTTCCCGTAGCGCAGACATCACACCGAGACAACGACTGACGACAGATGGACAATCAGCGATAGCAATAGCAACAAATTTAGAACAAAAAAAGAAAGAATTTGATAAGCACATGAGGTTGATAGAGGTACTAAATAGTTCTAGTATATAGCTATCTACATTATTTTGCTCACTTCTGTACTTTAGGAACAAATGATCAAAGCAAAACAAGTTGAAAGAGAAACAAAACGTCAAGAAGGAGATATTAAAAAAGAACAACGATCATTACATCATACCCTAAAAGAATTAGCTGTTGGTTAGTGCTATTTTTGAATGTATTTGAAATTATTAGTGTTGAGTTGAATGATAATAATATATTTACTTTTATAGATTCGACTAAAAAACGTTTTGATGCTGAAAAGAATTTGTCAAAAAATCTCGAAGAAAAAGACAAGATCGAACGTGAGTTCGTGAAGAAACGAGAACAAGTAAATAATTCTCGCCATTATATTGTATCTCAATTAATAATTTCTGTTTCTTTATCTATTAGCAAACAAAACAGCGTACTGAACGTGTTGTTGACACTTTACAGTCAACAAAAGATAAAGATCGTAAAAATGTGTTGGCATGCAATGATCTTGCAAGACAATATCGGACTAAAGTGAATGAACTTGATATCAAACATAAAGAATTAAATCGGTTGCATACGGATTTTGAACAAAAAATACAAATGAAAGAGGTGCAGATCCGTTCTAAACCTATTCAAAATAGTTCTTATTTATGTTTTGTCTAGATTGAAGAAAATCGTATAAAAAAAGAACTCGGTGAAATAGCTTTAGCTTTGAATATGGAAGCACAAAAAACCAAAACAGATTTAAAAGAATTTCAGCAGTAGGTAAAATTTATTTAACATACGACATATTCTGTAATCTTAACATTATCATCTCATTTAGATTGATGAATCGTGATAAAATAATGGCGATAAAAACAGATTTAAATGAAGAACAAAAACATGAACAAAAAATAAAGTAACAAATACTACACACTGTAGAGTGTTGTTTTATTCATCATGAATAATACTAGTATTTACTTTTTAGTCAAACAAGTGTTCATGTTAAAAATTATGATCTTGAACGACGACGTTTATCCGGTGATATTACGTTACACAAATCAGCATTGGATTTAAAACAACGTGAAGGTACATATCTCTATTGTCTACTGTTACACAAGTGTGATGAACATCTTGTAGAACTTGTCGACGAATATTATCGGTACACCCATTATCTGGTGTAAAATTTTATTTTACCATCATGCTGTGTGTTAAATATTGGCTTGATACTTCAGGAGAGTGTTTGCTCAAAAAATGATTTTACTCTATAGGAGAGAACTTCTTTGAAAACTAAATTAATTATTAGTTATCCTAATGAATTTTTTTGATATCAAAAATTTCCTTTGAATATATAAAAATTTATATTTAGCACCTTTAATACGTTTGAACATATTTAGTGAATAAAACGAAAGTTTTAACGCCTTCACATTTCTTAAAAGTTAATGCATTTAGCAGCCTTAACTTTTTTAATTTTTCTAATGCATTTTTACAAATTCAACATCTTCAAATGCCTTATAACCATTTAAACTTCTTAAATTTTTTCACACGTTCAAATGCATAAAAAATTTCTCGTTTGTTTAACAGAATCACATGTATTCAAATTAATTTGATGCATTCACACGCCTTAAGAGAATTAATACAGTCAAATATGTAAAATCGTTTAACTTATTCAAATTGTTTTTCGTAAATTCAATACGTTCACAGGTTATAAAAGCTGTCTAATGAGTTCACAGGAGTTAAAAATGAATGCTTGTGAATGTATTAATGCTTTTTGAAAACAAAAATGATGCTAGCATTATATAAAGAAGTGTTCTTACTCTTTTCTGATAATGCTATCGGATTCCCCTCAAAAAGTTAGGTCCAGGATGATCAATCCGACATACTGTAGAGGATCTAGGAACTTTTCCAAAAATTAATACTTTTTCTTGATATGGTCATATAGTCAAATGCATGCATTAAACTTTAATTTGTTTTCATGAATCAAATAACTTTAATGCGTTTGAATATATTAAAATCTTTAATGCGTTGAATAGCATTGAGTTTATAAGACGTTAAAAGTCCAAAAATCATCAAAACGCGTTAAAAACATTTTTCATTAATTTCATTTGAACGCACTTAATGCGTTAAGAAATGGTTAACACGTGAAAAGGAAATTTTTTATATCAAAAAAATTCATTGGGTAAGATAACTATTTAGGGATAACGTGCAAAGTCCTGTTTCTATTTTTTCATGTAATTTACCCATAAAATTAATTCTCTTATTTTTGTACATTTTTTTTTCTTCATCCTAGCCGTTCGTCGTATAGTTGATACAAAAAATCGTTTAGAGAATATTTATGTTAAACAACGAGAATTAAATAAAGCTGCCTCAGTAGCTGAACAAGATCGACGTGCAATTGAACTGATAACTAAAGTTGAGGTCAGTTTATCAGTTGATTAGTGTCCAGAAGTTTTAAGATTATCATCTTTTTTAGAATGTAAACAATCGGCGAAATCAATTGATGAGTCAATATTTACGCGATAAAACAGAAAAATCAGAAGAAAAAGAAGTTTTGGGAAGTGAAAAAGCCAAAGTTAGCTATATCGATCTAGAAACAAAACAACATGAAGATCATTTAAAACATTTTCAAGTAAGAACTGTACGTTTTTAGCGATTCTGATAAAGTATCTCTGATATATAGGAGAATGACGTGGGAATCACTAAGATTGAATCAAGATCATAATTTGTAAGAAACGACAAATAATGAACTGTTATTTTTGTTGTGTGTATTTTATCACAGGATTTTTTATTACTTCATCTATTGTTATTTTTATTGTAGAAAATCATGAATAAAAATGAAGAGCAAGAACATGATCTATATAAAAATGTGAAAGAAGCTGAATTTAGTCGACGAAAGAAAGAGCAAGATGTTAAAAAGCTACAGGGTGAATTAGTTAAAACGAAACGTGTTCATGCCGAAAAGATTAAAGGTGAAATATCGAAAGCAGAAAAAACGGAAAAAGAGATAAAACAACAATTAGTTAAAGAAAAATCAAGATTAGATAAAGTATGTGAACATTGTTTGCAATAATCTAAATTCTTACGATCATTTCTATGCCGTTTTACCATTCAAAAAAACAGTCCGTTTACATTTTTTTTCAGACTGTTTACACCGTCTTACGAACGTTTCATAAAGTTTTATCTCTTACTTCTCTCGTCAATAATAGTGTTTTTGCGATTTTTTAATTATTCTGGCTCTTTGATCTTTGGTATAGTTTCTAATACCAATTCTGAGATCACATTAGTATCTCTAGTGCTAAGCTGAGGAAGGACTACTTCCTCTAATCGAGTTTTGTGGACTTGTTTATAGGAGAAAGAGAAAAATTCTAAGTTATTCGAAGAAATTAGTGTTTTGTATATACTAGTGATAGCAAAATAAAAGAGGTAAATGACTCGTCAACAGAACGGCCCAAAACGAAGACCGTTATAGGACCGTTTTTCTGGTCCGTTCACAGTATACAATATGGACTCAATTCAGTCATTTCAGTGAACGGTCTAATTTTAAACTGTTAAATGATGTTTTTGAAGGTAGCAGTCTATAGCGACGTTAACGGACTGTTCCTATGCTATATTTACACTATTAATGAGTCGGTTTTTTGAGTAACTGTTAACGGCTCATTGACAGACCGTTAACGCACCAGTATATAAATGACCTGGGAACAGTACAAACGTTTAACCTTGTACGAGTAAATAACTGTTTTACTATTCATTCTTTTATCAGATTCTTATTCTTTTTTAGTTACATGCAAAACGTGAAGATTCATATCTAAAATTACTGCATCAACGTGAACATATTCGTGATAGTAAATCATTATTAGAAACACATGAAAAAGAGCATGAAAGATTATTACGAGTTCAAGCAAGGTCTCAATCAATGCAGTTATTGAATACTGTTTAAAATTCTTAATTTTTTCGTATGTGTTTCACAAAAAAAGTCTTAAGTCTAAAGTAAGTTAAAATCAAACGAATTTTTTGACCTAGATTTATTCTGATCCAAAAATGTATGCTGCCATGTTTCACAAACATAGCTTATGAGAAAAAAATGTTAAATCTGATGACTTAATAAATGTAGCTTAATTGTTGACCAACTTTCTGTGAAACACACTCCGCTTCTTACAATTTGTGTCTTCGAATCTGTTCTATGCAAAAACTATTGTGTATGTCATTATTAATGCAAAATCTCCTGCCTGGGATACAAACTATTTTAAAGGAATCGATATTGAACTAAATGGATCATGGAATAGCCTGAGGTACTTACTGTCAAAATTTATAATGATTTGAGCTTCATCAATATTTCTTAGAAATCTTTAAAAAGTAAAAGAAACTGACTGTTGAATAAATTGCACTATATTCATAAAACACCAAAACTGGAATATTTCATTGACAATAGATAGTAGAGCAAGTTCCTAGAAAAAGTTATAAGGGTTGCACACAATTCTTCGAAATCTTATTTTTGATCTTATCTCGATATCTTATTTTGACGTTACTTTATCTCAACCATCTTCTATTTTCACAATATTTCGTATTGGCAATAGATAAAAACAGAAAAAACTGACATTCCCGAAAAGTTTTGTCTAGATCGGACTTTCCGAGACACGTTTTTGACAGAAGAAAGGAGCTTTTAGTCTTTAAATTATGTGAACATTTTTCTTCTGGATTTTAGAGAATTTTTTGCGATATATATATATACATATACTTTTTAGCACTTTCTTTTAATCTCACTTTCCAGATGAGCATACTGTAATCTGTTTCCAGTATTAATTGGTGTTCGAAAGCTTTTATTTTTCTACAATTATGTCTTAAATGTTGTATTGTTTAATTAATTTTTAATTTTTATAACTTATCAGAATATTTTTATATTTTTTCTTGTTTATATAGAGTACTCTCATAGACTCATAAGAAGCTAAAGAATACGAGATTATTTTTCAGTTTTTTTGCATCCAGGTAACAGTTGTATGATTTTGAAGTTTGTGTTCTTAAAATACATCGTTTACTGTAGATTGCTGAAAAGAAAATCATCAACAGACTTAATTAGCATTCATTTATTTGCGATATCATTATTCACAACCAACTTGTGGTAATTCCATATCGGTGGAATCGTCGCCATTCATTACTGTAATGAATTTTGATCTATAACTTGAATCTGTTATATTTAATTACGTAAAAGACCGATGAAAGGATATACTAGAGTATAATCCAATATATTTCTAAAAAATCAAAATTTGTTGATTTTATATAGCAAGTAGATATTAGTACATAAGAAGAATTTTGAACAAAATCATCGCAGACACGTCTACCAAAATCTCTACATGATACTAACCAGTCCGAACTTTTTCTCACCACTACTACATCCCATGATATTCTTATTGATTTTGTTGATGCATGTAGATCACACTGATAAGTAATAGCTTCAACATACCCAAGCGCTTTTTCGACCGTTATAAGCACTAGATAAAGATGTTCATACAGCTACATATATGAAAGACAAACATAAATGTTACAGCATTGATCACTATCATCTTTCTGCTAAATGTAATGATTCATTGATCTATTTAACAATATGTCGTTACCAAAATCACGACTAATTCCTGATCGTCTCACTGACACGATAAAGTCACTAGCAAAAAACTGGTACTCTACATTTACTGAGGTGGCTGGTGCACTCAGTACACATGATTTAGAAATATAATATGCATTTCCTATAGAACTTAAATGCTTGCTAAATGTAGGATGCTATATAAAGTGCTACTAGTAGACTGCTTCGTCTGTTAGGATACCAAAGAAAAAGGCCCGACCCGACTCGTGCTGATCTCTGTTAAATACTCATAACTTTAGGTCATATACTGCTAACATGTTTCACCTACGACTTACGACCCACCTGTATTTTGTCGATCAAAAATCAGGAGGCATGGAAAATTATAGTTTTAATGAATTTAAGCTTTCGCTCAAAACATATAATGTTAGAGTAGATGTAGTGTACTGAAGATAAGGCGGGAATGTGAATAGTTGTGAAATGTGAAAATTTTGGTTCCGGTCTCGGTTCCATAGAAAGAACTCGTTTTGGTCGTGGTTTTGTAAATATTTTTTGAAAATAGCGCTGATAGTTTGAAAGTCTTCACACTGTAACGTAGCGTGTGGAACAGCAGGGGTTGACGGAAAACGTCGAAAGGAAAAACGTCGAAAAGGAAAATATCGATAAAAAAAGAGCAAAACGTCGAAGAGGAAAATGCAGAAGAATAAAATGCCGAAAAGCCAAACGTCGAAAGCGGATAATGGAAGAAGGAAAGTATCGAAAGGAAAACGCCGAAAAGGAGGAGATTTCTTTCTGTTCCTTTGAAAATCGCTGAACGTGGGGGTGAGGTGAGGGTGGGGTGAGGGTGAGGCGTTCATCGTAGCAGCCATACTGAACTTCATCATACTTTACTTTTTCGACGAGTGGCTATAATTACTACGAGGTTGGAGATGTCTGATGAGAACCAATAGTACTTCTAATGATAATAATACGTATATCTCATTCAGTGATTTTCAAGGAACAGAAAGAAATCTTCTCCTTTTCGGCGTTTTCCTTTCGACACTTTCCTTCTTCCATTATCCGCTTTCGACGTTTGCCTTTTCGGCATTTTGTTGTTCTTCTACATTTTCCTCTTCGACGTTTTGCTCTTTTTTTATCGACATTTTCCTTTTCGACATTTTTCCTTTCGATATTTTCCACCAAGACCGAACAGCATGCGTGAATAGTATTAATTAAGATTTTTGACTAAAATTTTGTGTCAGTTCTTTCTCGCAGAACTAGTGACTACATACGAACCAGCACAGATACTAAGAAATTTTTATGCGCTATACAAGACTATTTTCGAAAAAACCTAGTCCCAGTCCCATTAAAAGTCCCTCATAATTGGGACCATTCCGCAGACCTCTATGTGACAGATCGTTACATTTCCTAAATATTGTTGTTCAAATAACAACATGCGTCCCTTTCATTGCTACTCTGTTTTTCAGATTAAACAAAGTTCAAGAATCATTCTTCACATGAATTTTACCTTATATTCTACTTACAAAGTTTTAGTCAATAAGCTTTTTACCAAAAATCCAATAGTTGTTCAAATCTATAACATATCACTCAAATAGTATTAAATTTTTCACGATTCCTTTCGGACCTGGTTTCTAAATCATTTTCCCCGGTGTCTTCGATGAGAAAGCAGCAATCTTTTGCTTGAGCGTTTTCCAGTAGCCTCTCTTCCTCCTGATGTTTAGACACACAGACAGCATTTATACTGAGTATACGAAAAATCTCGACTCGCTACACTTGTCGCGAACTTGGTCGTTTCTGTCATCCCACTGCTCCGACGCCAACGTCACCTTCACATTCGTACAGATAGAAACACATGTAGAAATTTGTTCCTCTTTCATGCCCTACGTATATGCAGATGTACATCAGATATATGCTATACATACATAAATATATGTGTATATAAAAAGTCAGAGAAAGTAGATAGACATCTAGCAGGTAGGCAATTTTTTTAGAACGAAAAGTATGGAACTAAATATTCCTAAAGCCCCTAAGACAACCGACTATAGCTACGATAATATAGGGCAGATAGTACAGTACCTATTTTGTGCGCGAACGTAGATCATAATGATTCAAAGTGAATCGTGTGAAGTGTGAGTTATTAGTAATACGTTACTTGTGATATCTAACGCCCTTATGTCAAAATTTGACGTAAACATGGTATTTTTGGGATCATATGTGTCCATCCACCCATATCAAGTACAGGTGAAAGATCAGTAAAACCAAAGTACTAGTATCCCGTGTACTTATATAAACCCATAATGAAAGCTCCGAGTTAATTAGAAAAATGTGAACATAAATGAATAAATTAATTGTATGAGTTCAACAGCATTTATTTTAAAATTTTATTCTAAATTTAAACGTTGTGATTACCGCTATAATCATCATCAATTATACAAATATATGAACAACAGACATAACGAGTGGATCAGAAATAATAACACACTTTTGTTCTCTTTTCTTCCGAGCACAACCGAAGTTTGAAGAGTTCATTCTAAGCTCATTCTATATCATTCTATTATTTTAAAAAATAGTGCAGAGTACTGACAGGTAAAAAGTATAACTGCGATTTCCTATCAAAATTTTGGTGGCTTTTCGTTTTCGTATAACTTTCAAGAAATAATGTGGTAAGTAAGAGAAGAAGGTGGTATAAAAATGTTCAGCGGATTGAGCGCTATCATCCAGACTACGCTGCTTATTCGTTTGGTCACCCAAATTGTGACGCTTTCAGTGCTAGGGGTGGCACATTTTCTTTACTGATGCGTTACTTTACTGAGTAAAGCAACGCTTTCAGATATCACCGTATGAGTGACGAACAACCGAAAATGTATTGTTTTATCACCTTTCGGACACAATGCGACTAAAGCGTTACTATATTATGCGTTACTGGTAACGAGTAACGCAAGCGTTACTGCGTTACTAGAAAAGTAACGCAAAAAAGCGTTAAAGTAACGCAAATAACGCTGCGTTACTCGTTACAAAAGCTATGAAAAATAAACGCATCTCGTTAGTAGTTACTGGTAACGAGTAACGCAATAACGCATGCGTTACTGCGTTACCTGTAAAGAAACGGTAAAGCGCCACCCCTATTCAGTGCACAAGTTAATCTGTACTTTCGGGTAATGTAGGATTTTAAAAAAAGCAGCGATGAAAGAAGGTAATGGATTTTATAAAGCAGAAAATTCTCTATCGAATGAGTTTAGAATCTTCGAATCTCAGTTGGGCTCGGAAGAAAAGACAACAAAAATGCGCCATTATTTCTGACCCAGCCGTTAGTATAAATACTAGTTCGTCCATGTTTTCCTTTCTATTCTTTTTTCTTCTTCGAA